TTTGGGAAAGTGGTTGTAGTCAAAAGATACACAACCTTAAGTGACCTATTTATGACCGTGTTTTTCTTGGGCGTGTAAGAGTCATTGAATAGCTAGAACAACAGAATGTAATGGCAGGCTTTACCTTTTGAAAGTGGATTCTAATAGAAATAGTGATTTTTAAGAGTAGGCCATACATAGAACCAACCTGACTGCCCATCAAATGTGGACTGGAAAAGAAAATGTAGTACATATATGTGATGGAGTATCATGCAGCCATAAAGAAGAACAAAATCATGGAATTTGCAGCAAATTGGATGGTGTTGGAGACCTTCGTACTTAGTGATCTAACACAAAAACAACTGAATGCCACATGTTCTCAATCATAAGTAGCACCTGAACATTAATCACATTAGCATAAGGGAGGGATTGGTAGTCAATGGACACTGCCAGGGTGGGAGAGAGAGGAGGCATGCAGTATCACAAAGGGTACCTGGTCCTAAACCCGGGGAAGTTAGGGTCAGTTAGAAGTCCAAACTTCACCTGCACAAAGCCTGCTTGTGTAACTAATCCTGACTTTTACCCCACATATCTATAATAATAAATGTAAAAAAAAAAAAAAGAGTAGGTTATGCACTACTTTTAGGGATACTTAAATGTCACCTAGGCAATACTTAAAAATATAGATTCCTGGGCCCTACACAAACCCAACACAAGAAGAATCTCTGAGGAGTGTGGCCCAGGGATAGGTATTCTGTAAATACCTCGGGTGGTTTCTTGTGCTGCCAGAATGGCAACTGATGACCTGTTCTTACATTTATATTTGTATTTTTGATGAGGAGTGATGAGAGCTTGGATGCTGCGAGTCCAGTTAGGCAGCTGTTAGGGGTGCCTGTGAGGAGCAGTGAGGGGCAGAGCTGGAGGGCGAAGAAAGGGGATAGTAGGGGATGCAGGGCGAAGAAAGGGGATAGTAGCAGAGAGCCACTTCTGAAGCAGACATGTTGGATGGATCCTGGAGCCTCTTTGAATGCTAGAGCCCCTTGGGATGAGGGACTGAGGAAGAAGTTGGAAGATGACTTGAGGTGAAAATGTAATTAAGCACATGCTATGGCTGTGATGCCTCTGTGTATTTTTGGCTGAGTCTGTGGCACCAAAGGGCTCATTTCAGGCTGTTGGTTCAGAAGGCCTGGGTTTGACTTAATCTAAGGGCTGAAGGGCAGGAAAGGGCCTTAGAGATCAGCCACACTAGCTTCATTTGATTAAAAAAACTGAGTCTCAGGGAGAATAGTACATTTGTCTATGGCTGCTCTGGGAACCTGCAATTAATATTAAGACTCATGTCTTCTGACCCTTCAAGTCAGCGCCTTTTGTCATGAGGTTATTCAAGTTGCTCCTGCAGCTATTGCATACTTTTGTGATCTGGTTCATTGTTTTGTCATTTAACATCCCTCCTAGCTACAGCTGAATTATGAGCTGTATCTACACTGCTATGAACTGTGTGTTTAGAAACTAAGAGAAATGGGGACCTGTGTGGTAAATTGGATCATTTTTAGTGTAGTTATCTAGTATGATGCTCCTTAGAAGTTCCTCATAGGGGAAAAAAAAACTATGTATTTACAGGACAAAGCATAGAACTTGGGCCATATTCACTATTCCAAATAAGTGTTTGAATGAGTGCTCTAAAGCCAAAGGCAGTGTTTGAATTATAAGCATTTTTTCTAAGTAAATTTACCTATGATAGATTCACTAGGTCTCTACTTTGCCTATAAGTAGGCACTCACTAAGTCACATGGTTCTCATTCTTTTGATAAGAAACAGCAAACAGGGCTGTCAGCTGATAAAGGAAGGAAACAATGTGAGTGTTAGAAATGCTCTGATCTGAATGTGACCCCTTGTTGGAACGCCAAACATAAAAACTTTCCAAGTGGGCTGGCCCAGTGACCTAATATATACAAACGTCTTTTCTTTCTAGAAACAAACTGTCTTCTTCTTGTTTCTGATCTGACATACACAAACTCACAAACACACATGCACATACACACACACAGACACACACACACACACACACACACACACACACACACACACACACACACACATTTTCCTTTTTCAACCCCTATGGAGGTATAAGTCTATATGTTGCTTATAGCATGTTCTTAAAATGACCCTTTGTCATATATTTGAAGTATAAAATATTTGTTCTTGAGATCTGCCTTACTCTACTATGCAGACCTCTGGACAAGCAGATTACTGAATAACCCATGACTTTGCTCTTCATCTGATTAGGTCTCTAAAAGAGATCATAAGACATCCTTAAACAGCCTAGAGGCCTTGGTTGTTCTGAGTGATAACAGAGGGCTTTTTTCCCCTATCTTCCTGAAATGTCATGGCCACCCAGAGCAGTATCAAAGGAGATCACTGTTTGCATCAGGCATTAAAAAATAAGAAAAGAAATTTAAAACTCATTAGGGAAAAAATGAAAGTTCATCTATGGGTTATGTGTCATATGAAGAGTAATTTACCCTCCTCTTTCATTGACTAGACAACTGTGGGAATTTTTTAAAATAATGCTTCTGTAACTCAACCCATGTAAGAAATGTTTTAGGATTGTCATGTGCTGGCCCTGACAAAGTGCTACTTGCTTGGACACACAGGCTCACACTCTGCAGCCAAAGCCCTTGACTTCCATTCATTTTCACTAAAACAATATCAATATGAATAAAATGATCTGCAAAATAGCTTGTTAACTTGAGCTAAAACTCACCATCACAAAACTTTGAGCTCAAAATTAAGTGGAAAGTATTATTAAAATTATGTTGATCTGTATTTTCTTAGATACATCCCAATTTCAACATTTTGCTCTTTCTAAGAGCAGTTGACTTGCTAAATAGACACTAACTTTGTTTCGATTTATATAACTTTATAAGACCCTTAACATAAATAAATTCCCAAATCAGAATATAAAACCTTTGTCTGGTCACATACTTCTGGGGTTTGGGGTTCAGAAAATATAAGCCTAGTCTTCATTAGTTCTTGTGTTCAGTAACCACTAGCAGATGGCATTAGAAGTAATAGGATTTTGCTCATATTTGGTACTTAGCTAAAATACTTGTATCTTTTTGGTCATATACCCTGATCTGGAACTCTGATTTCAGTACTTATACCATATTGTCTTTCATATTTTTGTAATATGCTGTAAAAACAGAGGGAAACTCAAGTAGTGACTAGTTCTGAGGTACTGTGCTTGGTGCTTTACTTATGTTACTTTCATCCACACAACAGCCCTGTGCGGTACATATTATTATTGCCATTTTTTAGATGAAGAAGGCTAAACTTAGAGTGTTTAAGAAATTTGCCAATATTCACTTAGAAAATTAAGTACCAGAGCAAAGCTGATTCCAGCTTCTCCTGACTAATTTCAAAATCAATCCTCATCCTTTAAAAAAAATTTTTTTTCCCTATGTCAGAGGACTTTCCTTATGCAACAGATTGTAGACCACTTTAAGGTTAGAGACCATCCAGTTTATTACTGTACAAGAGGGGACCCAAAAAACCCGGAATTTATTTATAAAAAATTGAATATTTATTCTTACCTATTTAAACATCAGTTACCTTCCAAGTATTATCCGTTTGATGCTATATACTTGTCAACACACTTTTTCCACTACTCAAAATCATTTTAGAACTCATCAATTTTAATGCCTTTTAGTGCTTCTGCCATTTTCTGTTTCACCTCTTCCACATCAGCAAAACGTTTCCCTTTGAGGACTTTTTCCATCTGGGGAAACAAAAATAAGTTGTTCGGTGTGAGATTGGGTGAATAGGGAGGTGGACAAAAACTGCTGAACACTCAGCGTGGTATGAGCAGGTGTGATTGTAAATCACCCATCATGAAATGGGCAAATGCCTTGAAAGAATCTCCAAGACCAAACAAAATTCACTGAAGTCGAGTGCAGCTTCTCACAACAATGCTAGCTGATACACTGATGCCGATGGGTTTCTAGAACACTGGTTCTACCAAGGAGAACCCATACCACAAGGAACCCACACTACAAATATAATTCTGTTTTGGGAGATGTCCTCTCATATTCTGAGCATGAGATCCAGAGACTGGCATAAATATAGTAGATGTTCAATAAATATTTGTTCAATTGGATTGAATGGGATGCTGTTGGTACATAAACTCGCAGGAAAGATAATACGGATCTATAATTTAAGAACAGAATATTCAACATGGGTAGTTTACTGTTGGTTCTGGATTCAAATTGATCAGGTTTGAATTACAGTTTCTCAAGCTTGCCATCTATATAATTTGAGCATATTCCTTGGACTCTCAAAGTCTCAATTTTCCCACTTCAAAATGGGGGGATAATAGTTGTAACATACAGTGAGTGCTATCTACTGTTATTACCTTTAATTGGACTAGACTGTGGATGCTTTTTTAACATACCACATAATTTAGTTATTTATTATCATTGTTTATAATCTTTCTTCTCACTAAAATGTAAGCTTTATGTTAGCAGGGATTTTCATATTGTAAGCATTCTATTTGAGGTGTTTAAAACAGTGTTGCCCAATAGAACATTCTATGATGACAGAAATGTTCTATTTTGGCATAATGTAATATTGTGCCCACTGGTCACATGTGGTTATTGAACACTTGAAATGTAGCTAGCTAGTATAACAAGAATAATTGAATTATAAGTTCTATTTAGTTTTAGTTAATTTAAATTTAAATACCCATACATGGTTACCATATTTGCATAGTTCTAGAACATTACGTGCTACACTGAAGTTTCTTAATACATGTTTGTTAAATGAGTGAATTTTATTCTGCACTCAAAGATAAAGAACAAAATGCATGACTGCATATTTAGTTCATTCTTTAAAGTTAAGCAGTGAATCTCTGAGTAATACATCTGAGTAGTGACCTACTCATGCTGGAGGCCTCATGGAGTTCTAAAATGATTCAGTTTACAATTGAAATACATTTTTGATTTTTTGTTTATTTTTGGTGACAGGTCAAGAAAGATTTGGAAACATGACAAGGGTTTATTACCGAGAAGCTATGGGTGCCTTTATTGTCTTCGATGTCACCAGGCCAGCTACATTTGAAGCAGTGGCAAAGTGGAAAAGTGATTTGGACTCCAAGCTAAGTCTCCCCAATGGCAAACCAGTTTCAGTGGTTTTGTTGGCCAACAAATGTGACCAAGGGAAGGATGTGCTCATAAACAATGGCCTCAAGATGGACCAGTTCTGCAAGGAGCATGGTTTCGTAGGATGGTTTGAAACATCAGCAAAGGTAATGTGACATTATAGTATAAGTTGATTATAGGCAAGATTCACAAAGAAAATGGTGTATAATAATCATCATCATAATATGTGTTTGTGTAGTGATTTATAGTTGCCAAACTGCTTTAAGCTCTTTTTCATATCAAGACAATGAATAGGTAAGACAGGAATTATTATCCACAATTTAAGATGATTGTGGTAGAGGGAGCAAAATATCTTTTACATGGTTGCAGTGATAATAGCTGATAACTACATTTGTTTTTTGAGATTTTCTGTGCATTTTCTTATTTAGCCTCACAACACACAACCCTATTAGGTAAGTATGATTTTATAGTGCATATAGAAAATGAAAAAATGCAACTCACACTTAGTGTCACTGCCTTCTTTATATATTAATCAATTTACACAGTCAACATGTAATACATTCACCTGTATGTCGGGAATTGTGCTCTGTGCTAGAAATGAAAAGATGGTAAAAGCACAGTGCTGTGCTAGTTGTTTGGATTCAGCTGTGATTAAGATAGGCATTGTGCCTGTACTTATAGGGTTTGCACTTAAGCCTTACTGTGAACATTTGTGTCCATCAGTAAAGAATGGTTTGAATATATAACTTGAATCATTATCATTCCAATAGCCCAAGGAGAATCCTATAGTGAGTTTTATGCTGGAGAGCAGAACAATCCAATTTTCCCTGGAGACTGTGGCAAGATGGATTGTAGGATGACGAACCCAGAGATGGTGGTGTGGTAGTTACCCTGTTCCTATGGGAATATGATGAGACCTTAAATCAGAGTAGTGGTTGTAGAGGCTAGAAAGAAAACCCAGATTTGAGTGTACCACTGAAGTATACAAATTAGTATCATGAAGCACCTACTTGAATTGAGAGCTGGTGGAGAAAGGAAGAGGGTAATGATACCACTTTTTCTGTCACAGTGAAATGTTCTTTTGTTTCAATCATTCATGAAGAGCCTCAATGCCTGCCTTCTTGCTCTGCTGTCACTAAGCTGCCTTTATATTTGGAAAGTTATTATTCCTCAGTTCCTGTGGCTCTTGTTTTCCTTCTGAGATCAGTGCACCAATGTACCTTCTCCCATCTTTCTTTTTAAAATTCCTACTCCCCCTAGTTCTTATGATTCTTCCTTTGGCTCAGGATACAGTCCATATCACTTTTTTACTTCTTGGCTGTCATTGAGCCTCTTTGGTGTGTGTTTTGAAGGTTTTATTGCTATAAAATGAGAAAAGTACAGCACAATCCACAGGTACGATTAAGTTACAGAAATTTAACAAATAAGACATCTTTTTATAATCCATGGATGTTAACCTGGATTTTTTTTTCCAAAATGTGGATGAATTCACCATTCTCCTTTTCTTTTATTCCTATGCTCATTTTCACTCCATAGCTCCTGCATATTTCTTCACATTTACTTCTTTCAGAAATAATCAGTCTGCAGTCCAGAAGTCTCCAGGCACAAGGAAGAAGGTGTGGGATTTTTGAGAATTCCTTTGTTCAGTTGATTATATTACATTGTAAGGGCAAGCTGGATGGGATGGCCTATATTTATAGGGGAGAAAAAGTCTTACATTATTCATTTCTTCATTCAACAAATATTATTGAATAACTGTTATATGCCATGCAAATGTTCTAGGCATTGGCAATACAGAAACTTATAAAACAGATAAAATTTTGCCTTCATGGATAACAACAACAAGACATAAGTAAAATACATAGTGTGTTGGATAGTGATTAAGTGTTAATCAAAAAGAGAAAAGGAAGAGGCATGCTGTGGGTGTTGAAATTACTGGGTGATCAAAGAACCTTCCAAGCATTTTTTTCCCCCCTCCCTCTGACTTTCTTTGCTCAGCCCTACGGTGTCAGACTGTCTGCTTAAGGACATGATGTTCATTACATGGAGGCTTGGCTGACCCACCTGACTTAGATACTGGATTTCTAATCCTCTGAATCCCTGCAAGTGTAAACTTTGAAGAGAAGCTTTGTACAGTGTGGGGAAGGGAGAACATGGAATTTCACAATCTGATACAACCAAGAGAGTACAAGGCTTTATTTTAAAAGGTGGTAGCTACATTCAACATCTCTTTTCCCTTCAGCATACTGGTATTGAGGTTGTCTTTCTAACATCTTAGGGAAAATTGTTTGCCATTGCCAGATATTCAAAGCCAACACCTAGAAGCTCAAGGACAATACTGTAGCACTGACAAGCTGGGATGTCAAATTGCTCAGAAAAGTCTTTTTAAAGATCTCTGATAAAGCTCTGCTAACTTTCTGAGTTTAGTATTACATTTGCAAAACCGAGGCCTAAATCAAACTGTATGCCTGGAGTGGAAATGGCAGCATTTGGGAACAGCTGCCAATTCATTCCTTGATTACATTTGAGATAAGAAAACACATCCCATAGAAATCCTTCTCTTGGAAAGTGAATCCACTAACAGTGAGTCCTCTTGAGTGACATCACAATCAGTCTGGTGATTAAACATCTGATTTCCTTTCTTCCCATCACTGAAACTTCTAATGAGTCAAAGCCCTAAAATTCTGGCTTTGTTTCCATGGGCACATCCGGCAGAAATCCTTCAGGTACAAATCATCAGCTTGGCCATCCCTGCAGCTGAAACCTGCAGGGTGTTAGAGGAGTTTGTCATTGAAACCAGCCTCCACCTTGCCACTGACCCCACTTTATAGGGAAATTTGCCCTCTTGCACTTTAATCTTACAGATTAATTTTCCATGAGAGTTTTCATGCCTAATGCTGTTGCTGAAACAATCATGGTTGCCCTTGGCTAGCTAGTGAATTAAGAGAGAAAATATAAAAATTAAATATATGCTGGAGTTTCTAATTTTTTACATTATCTCTTTCAATATTAAAACCAAGGGAAAGAAAATAAACACAGTATTTTCGAAACCTGGTTTTCTTTGATTTTCAACCTTTGCATTCTTGTTCTGACTTTGCTGTGTTTCCTTGAATTCTACCTGTGGATTTTCTAGGTAATGTATAATTGGGGTGATCACATGTCCCATTTTGCCCCAAACATTCCTTGTTTATACCTCCTGTCCCAGCGTAATTATTAATAACATCCTTATTTCTAGTTTGTAATTTCAATTTACTTGGTCACTTTTTAGATCAGGAACTGAATTCACTTTACATTCTACATCATACCCTAGCACCAATAACAGATATTTAATGTATTCCTGTGTCCATGTTCAGCCTTTATAATATGTTTTAGTCAATTTGTCTCTTTAGAATGAGGGCCCTGCCCTTTTAGTGTATCTCCAAAGTCCAGAGCCCTGTCTCCTGGGCCTATCATTGGTTGACTGAGCCTGGCTACCTGCTGATCAATTTACCTGGTTTGTTTTTGGTACCCATTGCCTGAATCTCTATCAGTGACTGCCTTCAGATTAACTTTCTAATTACACCCACCCACTTTGTAGAGCTGCTGTGAGCATTGAGATAATGTATGTGAGACCTCCCCGATGCATTTTATCTGATCCCACTACACACACACACACACACACACACACACACACACACACTCACTCACACTCTATACCATCTGCCCTCTTTGTATCCAAGCCCCTCTGTTGGTCTTGCTGTGATACACACAACAGCTGTGCTTCGGTGAAAGGATCTGTTTCTGTATCGTAGTCTTTCCAGTCTGCTCCATTCTGCTCTTTTAGTTCCATGGTTCAGGTGTGGCTGTGTTCAGAATTAGGACACGATGAAAACATCAGTGTAGGTGGGAAAGACTAGAGCAACTCGTCTCTATGCAACAGTGGAGATAGAAGTCAAATTCACAGAAAGAATCACAGTGTTCCCTGCTCCTGCTCCCCTCTGCTCTAGCCCTACTCCTCACAGATTTCCTTGCCTGTTTCTATGCTGTTATTTTGACGTTTTGGATCTGCTCTCTCTCCCAGAATATTCTAAGAAAAAGGAGACCCCTGCGAAGAAGTTTCTTATGTTAAATTTTACTCAATTTTTGTCTCCTCCCTGAAGCTAAAGATAAAAATGTTGGTGTGTGGCCTTCTGCTGAGAAAAGGATTGTAACCAATAGTGTATCCAATAAGATGGTATTCCGCTTTTAGGCAGAGGAGTGGATGTTTCACACTGTAGTGGATATTTTTCATGTTCTTTGGCTTTCCAGCGACTGTCAAAACACTTTTGCTGTCCTTGGGGGAGCTTCTAGCCATGGGAGACTCACCTCGCCGGAAAGAACTTTCTTCTTTAGCTTCCTTTGCAGCTAGGCACAGGCAGATGACCCAGATTCAGAAGTGAGCAACTAGATGAAAAAGGCACAATGCAGAATCCATTTTTCTGGGGAGGGTAGTGGCAGAATAGGCCTCCAGCTTTGGGAGAAAGCAGGGCATACAGGGTACTGTGCTTGACAAAGAAACAAGAGTTGTTGTTGGCCAAGGAACAGTTAAATTCAAGTTGAGTTTCATGAAGCTTCAAAGAGCTTAGGTTTTAGTGCTTGATGGTGGCTGGCAGCAGTTCCCTCATCAAGACTGCTTTATGTGGAGTTTGAATTTCTTTCTGGAGGCTTAGGCTGAAGTCTGTTTCTCTAGACTCCTGAATTGGGTCCACAGGCTTCCTAACATCCCTTGAGTAAACTCCCATATTGAAGCAACCAGTATCAAATTCTGTACCTTGTAACTGTGAACCTGGATTAACATACATGATCAAATAAATCTGAGAAAACCAATTGAAACAACTGCTCTCCTTACTGTAAGATTTCTTTGATAGGAGCTTGATAGTCTAATGAGCATCCTGAATCTCCAGTAATACCAATAGCTATATTTCTTGCTCTTAGCTATTTGTTAGCTTTGTGTGAATATTATGTGCATGAATATTTAATCCTTAGCGTGATTCTGTAGAGTAGGCATTGTTATTATATTACTATATTAATGAAAAAATTGTTGAGACATGTGATTCTCCTAAAGCTATATTGTTATTACCTTATTTCTTTGATTCTAACATACACCTTTTATTCCTTTATATGCTAA